CATCAACTTCATTGATTATGAAAAGGCATTTGACAGTGTAGATAGGAGAACGTTATGGAAAATTCTTCGACACTACGGAGTTCCTGAGAAGATTGTCAACATTATCCGGATCTCATACGACGGTCTGCAGTGCAAAGTAGTGCATGGAGGACAGCTGGCAGATGCATTCCAAGTAAGGACCGGAGTAAGACAAGGCTGTCTACTCTCTCCCTTCCTCTTTCTTCTGGTGGTCGACTGGATTATGAAGACCTCGCCATCTGAGGGAAAACACAGCATACAATGGACAGCTCAGAACCAATTAGACAATTTGGACTTCGCAGATGACCCAGCTCTCCTGTCTCATACAAACAAACAAATGCAGATAAAGACAGCCAGCGTAGCAGCAATCTCTGCATCAGTAGACCTCAACATACACAAAGGGAAAACCAAGGTCCTCAAATACAACACGGAGAACAGCAATTCAATCACTCTTGATGGCGAAACTCTGGAAGATGTGGAATCCTTCACATACCTGGGAAGCATCATCGATAAACAAGGAGGTTCAGGTGCAGACGTAAAGGTGAGGATTGGCAAAGCAAGGACAGCATTCCTTCAATCAAAGAATATATGGAACTTAAAACAACTTTTAACCAGTATCAAAATCAGAATCTTCAATACGAACATCAAGGCAGTTCTACTGTACGGAGCTGAAACGTGGAGAACTACAACAACCACCATCAAGAAGGTACAAGTATTTACCAATAGCTGTCTACGCAAGATACTTAACATCCATTGGCCGGATACTATCAGCAACAGCCTTCTGTGGGAGAGAACCAACCACTTTCCAGTTGAAGAGGAAATTAGGAAAAGATGATGGAAATGGATAGGACATACTTTGAGGAAATCATCAAACTTCATTACGAGACAAGCGCTAACTTGGAATCCTGAAGGGAAGCGGAAAAGAGGAAGGCCAAAGAACACATTACGTTGGGAAATAGAAGCGGATATGAAAGGGATGAATAAGAACTGGAAAGAGCTTGAAAGGATTGCCCAGGACAGGGTTGGATGGAGAATGCTGGTGAGCGGCCTATGCTCCTTCACGAGGAGTAACAGGCGAAAGTAAGTAAGTAAGTACATTTATTCAAAGCTTTTAATATTACACGTTGATATATAGTTAAAAAAAAACATAATCCTATCAAATGACAAGGGAAGATATCTATCACGTTATTTAATTTACTGATTATTTCAACATCAGTGAAATCTTTATTATTAATGAATTAGATGAGATAGAAATTTTTCTGATAATCACTAGGCATAAAAAACTGTTTCCATCTTTGTTTAGAGTTTCGTTGTTATATGCTTCTAAATCGTATCTAGGTCTGTTGTTACTTTTAGTACAGTGGTGTGCTTGCTACTTACTGCTAGTCACTATCCATCTTTGCTTAAAAAGCTTGTGACTTAAGACTATATCGAGGCAATCCGCACAGGATGCACATATGCCAACATGAAACTGATCAATTGCAATCCTAAATTACAATGGAAAGGTACAAGTAAAACAATATCAAGCGAATTTAAGTTATTTAAAGTGAGTTTACGGCTTTTAATAGGCTATATTTAGTCTATATAAACCTACTGTTTCTAATCAGAATATATCTAAAGAGTTCATTTATAAATCCAGTCAATTATTATCAACATGTAACACTGAACTGATAATGAATATCAAATTAGTTCTTAATTAGTATCTAATTGTAACACCAAATACCTCTAAACTCTTAACGTAATTCTGTTTAAAGCAATGAATATATCAAATAATAATACTCGAACAAAAATTGAGCTCCATACATGTTAGAGTATCAAATTGTTTTCATTCAGCATACATAACTTAATTGATTAAGTGAATTTCCACAATTTAATGAAAATAAATAACAATAAGGATAATTTTGTAGGTTAAATTTATGTTATCTAACTCTTTAAATGTTGGAAATAAATAAATCAATAAATTTCTTATTTGATTTATATATGTCAGTCAGTTAGTTACAACGTAGGACTAGGCACATATTTGCACCAGTCCAAGCTACCATACCTCATTAGCACAACAAGATAAACATCAAATTCATAGAAGTAGTTAATTCAATGATATTAATATACAAAAAAGAAAGATTGCATATAAGGATATATGATACAGGAAGTAACAATTAGTTCGTAGAAAGAAACATATGAAACGAAGTTTATATATGTTAATTTATATTTATTAAGTATTTAATTAACTTTAAAACACCCTACACAAAAATGTGCTCAATTATCATCATAGGTTACTAAATAAAAATTGCTTATTGATTTTTCAGTTTAAATATTCGTAAATAAAAGGGGATACAATATACTTTACTGTTTAATTCAAGATTATTCATTTGATTATTAATTAGATATTATCAGAAGGGATTTTGTGGAGATTTTAGAAATTTCACTGGTTGAAATCATGAGTCAATTGAAGCTAGTCCCATACTAGGACAAAATGGCCGTTCAGTGCTTCCAGGTTTTCCATGGTGGTCTAACTTCAATTGACTCATGATTTCAACCAGTGAAATTTCTAAAATCTCCACACAATCCCTTCTGATAATACTCATCTCCTCACTAGTGACTGACTTCAAGAGATACTCCTGGAGTTCTAGTGAAAAGCCTTAACCAGTGGAGTTCAACCAGGTCTGTCGTGAGATATCAACGCACTAGAGACAATGGTGTACGGTGGCGCAACTTCGTGGATTAGTTGAAGTTAGACATTAACACCGTCGGATGCCGACCGGCTTGGTGGTCTAATGGTTAACTACTCGCACGCGAGACTGATAGGTTCTGGGTTCGAATCTCGCGGGTGGCCGGGATCGTGGATGCGCACTGCTGAGGAGTCCAATACTAGAACGAAATGGCCGTCCAATGCTTCCAGGTTTTCCGTGGGGGTCTAGCTTCAATGGATTCATGATTTCAACCAGTGAAATGTCAATTGGATACTTTTATTTCAAAATTCTAAAGTTTCATGAAGTATACTTCTAGAATAAATTTTATGATTTCGATTAGTAAAACAATCAAGAAAGTATCATGTTGTTGTGTAAAATCTTCCTATTCATACTACAAGATAATTTCAAGTTTTACTTTTTTTGTTTTTTAGAAATTGATACTGTTTTGAAATAAAAATTAATTATGAAATATCACTGTGGGGTTATGGAGATTGTTAAGTTTTTAATTGAGATCATGAATCAATGAATGTTAGACCACCATTGCAAACCTGGAAACCGAAAGTCCTGTGTTCGAGTCCAATGTGTGGGATTGTGGATACGCACTGTTGAGGAGTCCAATACTAGGACGAAACATCCATCCACTGATTCCAAGTTTTCAATAGTAGTCTAACATTCATCGATTCGTGATTTCGATAAAAAAACTCAGAAATAATTGAATTTTCAAATAACTAACAACAGGTTTATTTCACGACTGAGTACAACTTGAAATATAAACATAGAAAGGTCATTTCTTTTTATATAAACAATTCTAAAGAATAATACTTATTTACGCTGAAGTTATATCCGATTTTCAACTTTAGATCTTTTGATGGCAAGATTTTTGAGTATTGCTATTTTGAATTGAATGTTTCGCTGTTCATTGTTTAATCGTTTGTGATGTTATTACGGATTCTGTTGTTTCAATATACAATAATAGTGTTATTTGCATAACATTTTTCACGTTGACATTGTTTTATATTAACTAAGACAGCTATTTTAGGGTTTACCTTCAGAGTGCTTAGGAAATTATTAGTAATTTTTTAAACTATTTTTATACTACCGTAATCGCAAAACTCCATAGATTGTTGTATAAATACTTTATACTTAGCTAAATACAACAATTTCTAATGTCTTCAGTTTACAACTGTTCCTATGAAACATAAGTCTACCATAAGTAAATTAGATATAACTCAATGAGACTGATGAGATAAAAAAAAATTACCATGGAGATAATCACGTAAATTGAAAAGGAAATTAATTCAGAAATGATTGAATACATTCACTTGGTATTGTATCCTTAAATCTTCTCATTGAGGTTTAAGACTGCAATTGATCAGTCTGTTATTTTTGCTTATAAAGCTTGTAAATTAAGACAATATCGAGGAAATACGCACCGTATGCACATATACTAATAACAGACTGATCATTTGCAGTCTTAAACCTTAATCGGAAGATTCAAGCAAACAATACCAAGTGAATTTAAATTCACCCCATTACACAAGCAAATGGCTACCAAGACTCAGTAGCTGAGTAGATAACGCGATAGCGTTCGAAGCGAATGGTACTGGGTTCAAGTCCTAGAATGGACATGAACTCTGAGATGCAGTTACATCTATCTGGAGTGTCCCAAATAGGACGAAACGATCACCAAACTGGATCCCACTGCTAGCCATTATCCATGATTGAATACACTTCATTTATTCATTAAGTGAACAAAATGTGTAGAATACAATACACGATTCCTGTTGAATAGCCCCAAATGTCTATTCAATCATTAAAACTGTTGATAAAAGTAGATAAATCATCAGACAAGACTATCTGTTCTCTCCCTTCCTCTTTCTTCTGGTGTTTGACTAGATTATCAAGATATCAACATCTGAGGGAAAACACGGAATACAATGGATAGCTCAGAACCAATTAGACGATTTGGAAAGGATGAATAACAACTAGAAAGAGTTGGAAAGGATTGCCCAGGATAGGGTTGGATGTAGAATATTGGTGAGCTACCTATGCTCCTTCACAAGGAGTAACAGACATAAGTAAGTTAGTAAGTAAATCAATATTCTTTGTTATGATTTTTTTTTAAATTTTTTTCAAAAAAAAAAAAAAAGAAAATATCATAAACATTATGAACAATGAATGTGAAAATTAAAACTTTCATAAAATCATCTTACAAAGTTCAACAATCAAAAGTGAATAACAAACAAACAAAAATGATCAAGAAAATAATGTATTCAATGTTGATTAGAATTAAATAAATAAATAAATAAATAAATATACATTTTATTTTAAATTTATGTATTATGTAACCAATGATTACGTTTATGTCTATCTAAATTTGTTCTTTGAGCAAATGCTCTTTTACATATTGTACATATAAATGGACGTTCACGTTGATGTATATTTCTTATATGACGTTGCATATTAGATGATATACTAAAACCTCTTTGACAATATTCACAATGATATGGTTTTTCACCAGTATGTGTACGTAAATGACGATTTAAATTAGCTGAACGTGGAAATTCTTTTTTACAATGTGGACATTGATAACGATATGATAAATTAGAATTTTTATTAATTTTTATATTATTATTTTTATTATTTAATTGTAATTTATATTTAATACGATTATTAATAAATTGTTGATTATGATGATAATGATAAATATTACGATAATAATGAATTGGATTAGATGAAGATAATGATGAATTTATAGAATATGATAATTTAGATTTATTTAATAATTTTGTATTGATTTTATCATTTATTGATTTAGAAAAATTTGATTGTTCAGATAATATATTTGATTCATTTTGTAAAATGATCCATTTTTGTGAACATGAATCAATAGGTAATTCATCTAAAATAAATAAATAAACAAAACAAAACATAAATAATGATAATAAACATCAGAAAAGATTTTTTGTGGATATTATAGTAATTTTAATAGTTGAGATTATGAGTCGATTGAAGCATGATCACCATGAGAAACCTGGAAGAACTGGATGGCTGTTTACGTCCTATTGTGGGACACTTCAACAATGCACGTTCACCATACTCCACGTGGAACTCCAACTCATAGCATTCAATTTCACGCGTATCAACACTTATTCTCTACACCACTGAGCTTATCGGCATTCAACGGTGTTCATGTCTAACTTCAACTAATCCAAGTAATTGAGTGACACATCCACCATTGTCTTCAGTGAGTTATTAACTTACAATAGAGCCGGTCGAACTCCAGTGGTCACTACTTCTCATTAGAACTCCAGGAAATACCTCATGGAGACAGTCACTTGTGAGCGTATGTTGATTGATATCAGAAGGGGTTTTGTGAGTATTACAGTAATTTCAATAGTTGAAATCATGAGTCGATTGAAGCTAGACCTGTTGGGATGGCCACCGAGAAGCCACCCACGCACATAGTCGATTGACTAAGTTATCGATTAACTTATCGATCAGATGTTAAGTATTTGAATAGCAGTCAATTGATTAACTTATTGATGAATGTTTAAGAATTTTTAAATGACAATACTGGTTATATATATAATTTTGTATAAATACGCATGTTTGATTGTATATTTTGATTCTTGTCAATAAGTGCTCACAACGTCTTTCGTCTTCTTACTTGCGGGCGGTTGGAGGTTATAACGTTCGAGTGTCATCCGTTATAGAGTCTTTTCGTGCGTATTCGCGTAGAGAACTTAACAGTGGCGACGGGTTTTACAATCAACAATGCCAATTACCTTTAAACAAATAGAATCTTTTCTGGAACGTCAAGGAAAACGATATGAACAGTTCCAGGAGCGTATGCTGGAGATGTTAGCGAAACAAATGAATCTGAATAACAGAGGTCTAATTGATGATTCACATAATACTCATACAGACTCGATAATTAATTCCATTCAGGAATTTCATTTTGATGGCCTAGCTGGTGTGACTTCCGAGTCTTGGTTCAAGAAGTATGAAGATTTGTTCAAGGTCGACCTCAACAAACTGGATGACGCTGCCAAGGTCAGAATACTCTTGAGAAAGCTTGGCACGATTGAACATGAACGTTATAGTAATTTCATTCTCCCAAAGAATCAAAGAGATTTCTCTTTTGATGCAACAATCGAAACTCTGACGCAAATCTTCGCTGAACAATCATCTCTCTTTAATATTCGTTATCAATGCCTCAAAATAACAAAGTCAAGTGAGGATGATTGGGTAAAACATGCCGGCCTAATAAACCGTGAATGTGAACGATTCAAACTATCATCAATGACGGAAGACCAGTTTAAGTGCCTCGTATTTGTGTGTAGCCTACAATCTCCCGAAGATGCTGATATAAGAACCAGAATCTTAAGCAAAATTGATCAGTGCCCAAACATCTCACTACAAGAAATAACTGCAGAGTGTCAGAGATTAGTAAATTTGAAACATGATACCTCCATGGTCGAGAACAATAGCCGGCCGTCATACGTGCATGCTGTTAGTGAAAAGAAAGACTCCGGCTCACAAAAACCATACAGCACAGACAACCAGCCCTCATCTCCTTGCTGGTCACGTGGAGGTTGGCATTACAAGAAGTTTTGTCCATACAAAGAAAATTTCTGCACTAAATGTCAAAAAAGGGTCACAAAGAAACCAGATGTAGAAATAAAACTCGCAGACGTTACTCTTCACAAGCCTATTCCAAGAAATACAGATCTGGTAAGAAAACGAACAAAATATTAGTATCTCATAACCAGACAAGAATTCACCGCCGAAGAAAGTATGTGACCGTAGACATGAATGCACACCGTGTCCGTCTTCAACTTGACACAGCATCTGATATCACCCTAATCAGCCCAAAAACTTGGGAGAAAATTGGGAGACCCACAGTTCACCGAACGAAGCAACTAGCGCACAGCGCATCTGGAGGTAAGCTTAATATTGTTGGGGAAATAACGTGCAATGTTTCGAAAAATGAGGCAACAACGAGTGCAACTGTTTACTTAACCAAGAACCCGGAACTCGATTTATTGGGGTTGGATCTAATAGATGCATTAAAATTAGCAGATCATCCTCTCAACAATATCTGCAGCCAAGTCAGAATCAATAACCCTTTAGAGTCAAGTCAGAGAAATGCCATTACAAAAAGGCATCATCACGTGTTTTCAGAAGGGTTGGGCGAATGCACGAAAGCCAAAGCACTACTGACTCTCAAGTCAACATCTATTCCTGTTTTTCGACCAAAAAGACCTGTACCTTATGCTTCTCTCCCAGTAGTTGAACAGGAAATAGAACGGCTTCAAAAAGTGGGTGTCATTGAACCTGTGAGTTTCTCCAATTGGGCTGCACCGACTGTGGTGGTCAAGAAGTCAAACGGCAGTGTCCATCTATGCGCACATTACTCTACTGGACTGAATGATGCGCTAGAACCCCACCAGTATCCTTTGCCTATACCTGAGGATCTTTTTGCTAAGCTGAATGGAGGCAAGGTGTTTGCAAAACTGGATTTATCAGAAGCTTACTTGCAGATTCCTGTCGCAGATGAAAGTAAAGATCTGCTTACTATAAACACTCACAAGGGCCTATTCCGATATAATCGGTTACCTTTTGGAGTCAAAACGGCCTCTTCCATATTTCAGCAGGTGATGAATACTATGCTACATGATCTCCCTGGTGTTGCAGCTTATCTGGATGAAATAATAATTATGGGCATTGACAGAATAGACCTAGAAAAGAAGCTCGACCGGGTGCTATCGAGAATAGCCGAATATGGATTCCGGCTTCGTGAAGAAAAATGTGACTTTTGCATGCAGAGTGTACGCTACCTCGGTTTTATCATTGATAAGGACGGGAGAAAACCAGATACAGAGAACACTCAAGCTTTGAAAGCAATGCCGAGACCGACAGATGTTCCCACACTTCGATCCTTTTTGGGGCTAGTGACTCATTATGGAGCTTTTATCCCTGACCTTTATCGTTTACGTGCCCCATTAAATAGCTTTTTAACAAAGAACGCAAAGTGGTGTTGGTCTAAAAGTTGTCAAACTGCTTTCGAGAAGATCAAGAGACTGCTACTATCGGATCTGTCGTTGACACACTATGACCCATCCCTACCTATTGTAGTGGCATCAGATGCTTCAAACTACGGCATTGGAGCAAGCGTTTCGCATATTATGCCTGATGGATCAGAGAAAGCAATCTCGCATGCAGCAAGGTCTTTAACTACAACAGAACGCAACTATAGTCAGATCGAAAAGGAAGCATTGTCAATTATTTTTGCGCTAAGAAAATTTCATAAGATGATATTTGGATGCCGGTTCACGCTTTTAACGGACCACAAACCGCTGCTAGCCATATTTGGGTCAAAGGAAGGAATCCCGGTCTATACTGCAAACAGACTGCAACGATGGGGAACAACATTATTGGGTTACGACTTCAAAATTAAATACCAACCTACTACTGCTTTCGGACAAGCTGATGCTTTGTCTAGGCTCATTGGTTCCCAAGTGAATCACGAAGAAGATACTTTGGTGGCAGCGATTGAAACAGAGACAGAAGTACATCGAGTTTTGGAAGACGCAGTAGATGGTCTACCGGTTACATTCGAAGCTATTAAAGAAGCTACAAGAAATGACAAAATACTACAAGAAGTTAAGGGTTATCTCCTCTCAAAGTGGCCGAATCGTCGTTTACAAGGAGAACTGCAACAATATTTCCGCCGGCGCGATTCACTCATGATTGTGGATTCATGCATTATGTTTGGTGACCGGATTATTATCCCAGAATTATTGCGACATAAAATCCTCAAACAATTTCACAGTGGTCACCCTGGGATAAACAAGATGAAGTCATTGGCGTGCAGTTACGCCTACTGACCTTCGATGGATAAAGATATCGAAAACAAATGCCGAAACTGCTCTTCTTGTTTACAAGCTGCAAAAAACCCTTCGAAATGTGAACCTCAACCATGGCAAAAACCTACTGGACCTTGGGAGAGAATTCATGCAGATTTTGCTGGTCCAATCCAAGGAAAAATGTTTCTAATTATCGTAGATGCATTTACTAAGTGGCCAGAAGTATATACCATGCCAAATTGTACAACGTCAGAAACAATCCACAAGTTGTCTACCTTATTTAGCTGCTTCGGAGTTCCAGAGATCGTAGTAACTGATAATGGCTCGCAATTCATTGCAGAATCGTTTAAGTATTTCTGTAGCGCAAATGGAATAACTCATCTTCGTTCTCCGCCCTATCATCCGCAATCGAACGGACAAGCAGAACGCTTTGTGGACACCTTTAAACGAGCACTACTGAAAGAGGGAGGCGAAGGGACAACTGGACAGGTAATCACAAAATTTTTGACAACCTACAGAACCACTCCGAACCCAAATGTTCCAGACGGTAAGTCTCCTGCCGAAGCCATGTTTGGAAGGTGTATTCGAACCGTTTTCAACGCCATGTTGTCATCGAAATTATTGTACGGGCACAATCAAAATCCAAATATGCGGAACTTTAATGTCGGCGACGAAATTTTCATTAAATCCTACACCGGAAAGAACCGATGGGAGCCGGGAAAAATTGTACAAAATTTGGGAAAAGTTCTGTACAGAGTCCGAGGAACTTTTGGAACATGTATACGACATACGAATCAAATCCATAAGGACAAAAGAACGATGCAGACTCGAAATATCCGGCCAAATTTCCCGTTAGAGTTAATCTTGGACGTACCAACGATACATATGCCCAAGGACACTGAAGGGAAGCCTCGGATAAGGAAGACTACAAGAATAATGAGACGCCACCGCAACCCATTTGTCAAGCTACAAATAGATCCTAGAAAGAAATCTTATTCGGGGGAGGTGTTGGGATAACCACCGAGAAGCCACCCACGCACATAGTCGATTGACTAAGTTATCGATTAACTTATCGATCAGATGTTAAGTATTTGAATAGCAGTCAATTGATTAACTTATTGATGAATGTTTAAGAATTTTTAAATGACAATACTGGTTATATATATAATTTTGTATAAATACGCATGTTTGATTGTATATTTTGATTCTTGTCAATAAGTGCTCACAACGTCTTTCGTCTTCTTACTTGCGGGCGGTTGGAGGTTATAACGTTCGAGTGTCATCCGTTATAGAGTCTTTTCGTGCGTATTCGCGTAGAGAACTTAACAAGACCATAATAGGAAACGCGGAAGCACAGTGCTTTCGGGTCTGTTGTGAGATAGTAACTCACTGAAGAAAATGCTGTATGTGTCGCTCAATTTCGTGGATTGGTTTGAAGTGAGACATTAACACCATTGGATGCCGGCTCAGTGGTGTATAGGTTAAACGTTGACACGAGCGACTGGTAGGTCCTGGGTTCGAGTCTCGCGAGGCGGGATCACTTTCGCGCACTGTTGAGGAGTCCCACGATAGATCGAAACAGCCGTTCAGTGTTTCCCGGTTTTCCATGGTGGTTTAGATTCAACTGACTCAAGTACACACATTGATATTCATTTCTAATACGTAGATAAAATTTATTATAAGTACACTTTGGTTGTTTGTCATTAATAAAAAACTTAGTCGATAGGATTCGATCTGCACTAAAAGGATCTGACATACATGACATTGATCACCACTCAGTGATCAATCAATTGTTAAAGGTTCATGATTACAGTTAAGTTCTAAAGTTTTTTCTTCTTAGAATACGAAATTATTTCAGCCGTTGTACCATCTTAAAATGAATTTTACTAATATTAACTATTTTCATCTCCTTTTTTGGGGGGAGGTGTTAGGTTGATTCTGTTGATAATAGTAGGCTTCTTCATGTTTTTTAAATAATTAAACCATTAAATTTGTCAGTTATTAATTCTGATAAAGTTTAAATTTGGTTAGATTTTACAGTATTCTTACTGAGATATACTATGGTTCAGAGTTATGAGAAATAGCATATAAAATTTCATTGATCGTACAAATCAGAGATGAGTGAATATCTATGTAAATGAAAAAAACTGAATTACCATAACAGATTATTTCCTTTCAAATTAACTAACTCTATTCATCTTTCTGGAATCATTTCCTTATCGTAGAGAAAGCTGTGACTTACGTGGTACAACAAATTAAAAATAGGAGTAGGTTTAGCATCAGCGACATTAATCAACATTTGCACTAGATCGACATTTATTCTAAACAATAATATTCGAACTAAGGGGTTTCTGGTCAATTAGTTGAGTTTTAACATAATAACAGTTAAACCATAACGTCCTTAAACAAGTAAACTATTGGATTCTGGTTTAGTAGTTTGTATTTTAATTGCTCACAATGAGTTCTTAAGGTCTCAGGTTTGGTTTCCTGGAGGTTCATAGTTGCTCAATCCTGAAGATCCACATACAAGAACGAAATAGCGATCCAGTGCTTCTTAGTTTTCAATGTTTGTCTTGCTACAAAGAGTCCGTGGTGTAAACTACTTACTGTTTCTAGTCCAACCGTATATGAAGTTAAGTTTAATAATTACCTAATAGCTCCACCGCAAAACTAAACAACTATTCACTGCTTTTAAACATTCAGGAATTATTTAATTAACGTCACTCATTTGGTGATAAAAACTATCTCTAAATCGACCAGTTTTCCTCATCAAAAACCTTTAGGAAATTAAATATAATTTGGAAGTTTATCGTCAGGTAATTTAGTGACATGTTCTAAGGAATTTATTTAAGCCAGTCAACAAATGATACATTTGTAGTATACTTAGTTAAAATCTTGAATATTAGTTTCAGACACATTATTCGCTTGCCTGTATATATATAAAGTTTAATAAGTGATAACCAATAATTCAAATAAGACATATTTATATCATAAATAAGTGGCGAGACTATAATTTATGGACGAACCAATCAGATTTAGAATAACAGATTTCGGATTTTGGCGTGAAATTCATCTATCCATTTGACTAAAATTACGTTTCGGTATTTTAGCTGATGTCATTTCGTGATGAAAACTTAGTAAGCAAGAATATACCAACTAGTATGAAATCTAAATCTAAAGTTTCAGAATGGTCATTTCCAATCATTTAATATAAGGGGAATATAACTATATACGAATAAAAATACGATTAATGTAATACATATATATTTCAATGGTTTAGATCGTGAGTCAATTGAAGCTAGACCACCATGGAAAACCTGGAGGCACTGGATGGCCGTTTCGCCTTATTGTGAGAGTCCTCAGAAATGCACATGCACGATTTCACCTCGCAAGATTCGAATCTAGAACTTATCAATCTCGTGCGCTGACGCTTAACCACTAGACCACTGAGTCGGCATTTAACGATGTTAATGTTTAAATTCAATCAGTCCATGAAATTGAGCGACACATCCACCATTGCCTTCAGTGAAATACTATCTCACAGCACACTTGGTTGGACTGCACTGCCGGCTTAATGATTTAGTGGTTAAATGCTCGCGTGCGAGACTGTTAGGACCTGGGTTCAAATCTCGAGAGATAAGATCGTGGATGCTGGGGAATCCTACAATGGGATGAAGTGGTCGTTCAGTTCTTCCAAGTTTTCCATGGTGGTGTGGCTTCAATTGACTCATGATGTTAACCATTGAAATTACTATAATATCCACAAAAACCCTTCTGATATATATATGTATATTACAATCATCACCTTGATTTGATTGAAAATTAGAAAAATTTTCATTATTTTTCATAATATATGTTGATGTATCATATTTATTAATTTTTAAACTATCTATTGAATTATTTATCTTTTGATAATATTTCTCTTTATCTAAATGTAAATCAAATGAATTTAAACTAATATGATATTCTTTATTGAATTCATTTGTCTCCTTTTTAATCCATTTTATATTTTGATCATTTTGTTGATGATCAACTTGTCCTTGTTGATGTTGTGGTTGTTGTTGTTGATGATGATGATGATTTTGCTGTTGTTGGCAATGATCTTTCTGTTGTTGTTGTTGATGATGCTGTTGTTGTTTGAATTGTTGTTTTGATAATAATTGATATAAATTTTGTATAAATTGATAATACCAATTTATAAAATTAATTGATATTTGGAATGGTGTTGTATATTGTTGATTTATTGAATTCATATTAGAAAACTTTATACATGGTTTTAATAATGAATATGAAATATTTGTATTGTCTTGTAGAGGATATATTGAAGATGAAATAGTAGAATTATAGTATTGTCTTTCTTGATTCTGTTGTTGTTGTTGTCGGTGCTGGTGTTGCTGCTGCTGCTGCTGTTGTTGTTGTTGTTGTTGTTGAATAGTAGGAATTATATTTGATGTAGAAAAAATTCGATAAAGATAATATGGGAAATTTGAAAGAAAATTTATTTTATCTAATTGAAATTCATGACTAATTGAATGTTTAATATTATCATTTAATTTAGAATAATTATATTTAGATAATGTATGTATAGTTTTTGATAATGTGGTGGTAAAATCTATTAAATTATTCATAGGATTAATATTAGAAGTGGGTATTGTTTGTGTTAATTTTTCAAATGATACTGATGATGTTAAAGCAGTTGAAAACGTATTCAACTTAGTAGTAGTATTATTAGTGGTAGTAGTAGTAGTAGTGGTGGTGGTGGTGGTACTTGTTAATGAAGATAATGATGAAGTTAAATGATGATTGAATAATGCATCAATGTCTTGTTGTTTATTGATTTCAGTTAGATTATTTAATAATTCTGAATTTGATATTTTACATTGATGATTATTATGGTTTATATTTGTGGAAGATAACGATATTGTTGTTGATGGCCAAGTGTCAAAGATTTTATTTTTATGCATTCTCAAATCAAGAATTTCATCAGAATCATAGTTCTTATTTTGTAGTTCATAATTAACATAAGATGATGATGGTGGTGTACTGTTATTTGACTGATATTCTACAAATGGGTCATTATCAAATGGACGACCATTATCAACATGATTATTATTCTCTTGACATTCATTTAAGTTAGTTGAAAGATGGTAGCGTTTAAAACTTTGCTCATTCATAATGATAACAAAGGATAATTAGACAGATTAATTTTTGATTTATCCATTGTAAAATATATTCAGATTGTAATTTGCAATGAATGTAATAATGATAATATATCATTTGAAGATAAAAACTCTGGCATAGATTTACCTTATTATACAAATAAGAAGAAAAATGATATATATATATATATATATATATATATATATAAACTTTAGTAATTACTATCACAAATAAGGTCAAACTAATCACGAGTATCGTGGTTGAGTAGTTCCTCTAATACATTAAGTAATCTATTACACATTTTTTTTGCATACATATGAAACTGTAACATACATATATAAATTATAATCTGTTACTTCAAAGTGTAACAACTGTTAGCAATGTTTAAATTGAGATACGTAATCATTGATTACTGTCATCTATTGAAATTTTGTAAAAAGAATAAAGGTTGTGTAAATTCAATTATCAATTCCCTTGTCATCATCATCATCACTGATAGCAGTAACACCATAATAATCATTATCATCATCTTTATGACAAATGATCCCAATTAACTACTGTTTACCACTATTATTATTAATTCAGTAAATTAAATTAGTAAAAATTGTAATTTGACTCTAAAACATGTGTTCACATATCGAAAAAATAAAATTAAGAAATAAGGGTTTTTCTACTTAGAATCAAATTACCTATACACATACTGGATGTTCATATCATCATTTGTAAACTAGTATACGTAACAATTGTTACGAAGACATATATACGCAAAATGACAGTAGAACCTAACAATATGTTATATATATATATATATATATATATATATATATATATATATATATATATATATATATATATATATATATACTGTCATGGTAATCTGTTTTCATAGTATCCGAAATTGTATCATTTCTCTATATCTTACCCATCATAATTAGAGTATATAAGTATACTACATCCGAAGATTTGTTTCAATCAAAGGAACCGATAATTGACTTTGAATCTGTTCAAATTTCACATGTATACAAAACAGTAATCACAAGATAGATACGTTTCATGTGGTGAAGATACAATGAAACAAAATAAAATGGAATGACATAAAATTATTGATCAAATTCTAAACCATAATTTTAATGTATAACATTTAATATATGTCTTGTTGTTAACAGTAAGTATGGTATTCTGTGTCATATTCTATTTGCTGATCTATCTGGTCAACATTAACTTGATTACCACTTAACCTGGAGACTCTAGGTTTAATCTCGGTGAGAAGCCAAAATGAATATGAACGATAACAGATTCAAAGGTTATTTAGTACACCATAAACATACTCTTTAAATCAAAATATATGCCGATAGAGAAATAAGAAGACGGAATTGATCCAAACAAAGCAATGCATTTGCTTTAACCATTTCAAACAATCTGTTCACACATATTCTTTTCAAGGCATAGTTCTATCAAAATTGATAAGTAAAAAAGACTAATTTAAGGTATATTCAAACAACTTTATGCCTTATGGTCAATGTCTTCAATCTTCATGTCATTGAATACAAAAAATGATAATGAAAAATTAATCATTTTGAATATCAATATTGCAATTAACATGGTAAGTAACAAAGACAAATGAATATCGTTGATATGTATGACATTTTTCAGGTATATTATCAAATAATCAATAACTTTAACAAAGCCAACACAAATGCTGATTATTCTCTGTAAATAATTTCAGTCTTAGCTGTAAGCATTTACTTTTACATTTCAATATATTGAATCTTTGAAATATTAAGAATCATCAGTTTCATTCATTGAACTCATTAGGTTTTAAATAATCTATTTGATTATCCATTTGAAATATCCAATCACATTTTGCCTTATTCATAGTTTCTTAATAAATTCCCGCCTCTAATTACTCTACAATACATTGTCCTAGTTAATATGAATATATTTCATATTGATTCGTCAGTATTTCATATTTATATCAGATAAACAAATGTACAATACATAATAATATGAGTGTATATTTTATTGATTATTTTTAAGAATTCATCTTTTCAATAGTTGAAATCATGAGTCAATTGAAGCTAGACCACCATGAAAGACTTGGAAGCACTGGACGGCCGTTTCGTCCTATTGTGGGACTCTTCAGCAGCCGGCTCGGTGGTCTAGTGGCTAAGTGCTCGCACGCGAAACCAGTAGCTCCTGGGTTCGAATCTCGCAGGGGGCGAGGTCGTGGATGCGCACTGCTGAGGAGTTCCACAATAGGACGAAACGGCCGTCCAGTGCCTCCAGGTTTTTCATAGTAGTCTAGCTTCAACTGACTCACGATCTTAACCATTGAAATTACTACGATCTCCACAAAACCCCTTCTGATAATTCATCTTTTGTTTATATAACGGTTACTTTTAGGTTAAATTATAAACTGATTTTATCTAATCTAAGCTGACAGGTGTTGAATGGTAATTTGTGGAGTTCTACAAAGTTAATAAAAAAATACTAAGGACAGGGTGAAGAAAGTCCGTAAGGTAATTTAAATGAAGAGATTTGAAAGTGTTAAACGGTAAAAATTTTATTCTTAATTAGAAGTAATTTTATTTTAAGCTGTACACCTTTAAATAGAACGGTTTTAGGTCCTAATAGTAAACTTTAGATTTTAGAAAAACAGGAATTATCATTATAGGGTTGTGCAGATTGTTGAATTTAGATTGATATCATGAATGAATCAATGTTAGATCACCATTGAAAACCTGGAAGCATTAGATGGCCGTTTCATATTAGTACAAGATTCATCAGCAGTGCACATCCACGATCACTCGCGTGGGACTCAAACCCAGGACCTTCAGTTTCTAGGTTTTTAATGGTGGATTGGTTGAAGTTAGAAATTTGGATGCCGACAGGCTCAGTACTGCAGAGTTTAAAAGTTGATACGCACGAGATTGAATGCTGTGAGTCGGAGTTCCACGTGAGTGATCGTGGACGTGCACAGTTGAGGAGTTCCATACTAAAACGGAACGGCCGTCCAATGCTTCCAGGTTTTTCATGGTGGTCTAGATTCAATTTACTCATGATCTCAACTTTTGAAATAAAATATAACGCAATTTTGATTTTATTAATTGTTTTACTGGTTTATTCAAATAATGTTAAATTATATATAAGATCGTGGAGAACATTTATAGCTCAGGTGAATGATTTTGATGGAGTTTTATTCTCTGAGCTGGATGGTTTGATCGTGGAGCTTTCGTTGTTCTTCTGAAAGATATCATCAGCACAAAGTTATATTTGAGATCTTTTACATGTAATATTTTTTTCATCTCTATTCATCAACTAGAATATAATATAGAGGATATTTTTTACAAAAATTATAATATTTGTAAGCAAATATGGATAATGGCTAGCAGTGGAATACAGGACGCGTGTTACATGTCATTTGGGACTTGTCAGCTGGATATACCTGCATCTCAGAGTTGATATTCGCTCCTGGATCCCACTGTTAGCCACTATTCATCTATGCATAGAATGCTTGTGAATTAAGGCAGTATCGAAGCGATCCGTACATGATACATATATGCCAATAAGAGACTGATCAATTACAGTTCTAACCATCAATGGGAAGATTCAAGTAAACAATACCAAGTGAAACAATATTTGTTTCTTGATAATATTCTTTAATTATTTTATATTTTTCTTATAAATGAAAAGTGAGTTTATACTTGTACACTGTGATTATTCTCTCTTTTTTTGTATTCGATCTTTAAAAGCAATGGAATAAAACCATAGGGCCAGAATTTATGTATTCTGTATCGAAAATATACATCTGTGTGTCTAAATCAGTTATCTGTAATATTTAAGATTGGATTAGACCATGGACTTGCAAAATGCTATGAAGTATTCTTCATAAATGATAAGATTAAATTGTAAGGAAGTGTAGGTAATATGAATTATAAGCTAGATTTTTTAAAAAAGTTTACCACTTTCTTAAATTCTCTGTTTCAACTGCCCAAATTCAATGATCCTACTAACAATAAATGGATGTTAGAAGTTCAAATATGTCATCTTTTATCATAACGTCACATAATCCTTACATTAATATTAATCATGTGTTCACCAGTGACTAAATTTGAGGGGCAAATATTAGCGTTTTCGTGAGAATCAGTAACCAGTGAATGTATGATATCTGATATGACGTTGTTATTGAATGATGATTGAGTAATATCACAAATTAATTATAATTAACAATGTTAACGAATAGAGACCAGCTTAGTGGTCTCAAGGTTAGACGCTCTTTGTGAAGCTATCAAGTTCTGGGTTGTTAGCTGGTCACTGTTCTTGATTCTCAACTTACGACTAAACAAATGTCTGGTGCTTCTTAGTCCTCAATGGATCAATTCATGATGTGAAGTATGATATTTACTTGGTTAATGAATTACAAAAAATATTTACAAGCTTAGGAGACAAGGTTTACTAAATTTAAACGTTTCTTTTTGTTGTAGTTACCAACGTCATTAACATTATTTTTAATCAAACTTCAGACGACAAGAGCCCGTTTAAAGCTTTGAACTATTTCGTTTTTTATTAAACTTTATTCTGTATTAAACAGATAGTTTTTAATCATTCAAAATTCAATCAAAACATCAGAAATCGGATAACCTAATCCACTTTAAATTGGATTAAAACTCATACCTGTTCCATAAATCAATGACTATATGGACTCAGTAGCTAAGTGGATAGTGGGATGGTGTTTGAATCGGACGACACTAAGTTCCATTCTAGCATCGAGTCTGGAATGTAGATACATCCAATTGACGAGTCCAAAATCGAATGAAACGCACGCCCTGGATTCTACTGAAAGCTATATTTCATTTATCCTATACTAACCTTTGTAATAACTGGCTACATTGAGGCAACTTGCACAGGATGCACATATGCCAACCAAAATATCAGCAACCGGATAATTCAATCCATTTCAAATTGATACATGAATTCTTGTTAACTAAATGGTATACCATCACGTTTATATATT